AATAACGATATTTAACTATATTATAATTATAATAATTAAAACGTATATACATTAGATATCTAGTATATCTAGTAACATTCTAATATCTTAGTCGTATACACCTCATCCGTTATCACGAAATAATTATCTAAAAGATATTTGGAGAGGAGGAAGGGGGGAGCAGCAGCAAAACATTGTATGCTGACTTCTAATAGGTTCTCAGTATTTGTTAATGTATTGTGTGCACAAGATGGATTACTCGCACATTTTATACATTCTATGTTGTAAATCGATAGTGATAATAAGTTCCTGATGATTGTTTACCAACATGACGTTTGGCCAAAATGAATCGTTCGGGTCCAGACCAATGTATACGCTACACATTTGTGAAATCCTATACATTGATGAATGGATCAAGTCGTTGATTTTATTGAATTTACACCTTGGTGTAGCCATTGTGATTAAAGTCTCAAGATCTAATAGGCTTTACTGTCCCTGCGGTTCGCATTAGTCGTCCTTTCAATTGTTTCGATTGAATCCAAAAGTTCGTAATATATTCGCTTCACAACTGAACATGCACATTCGAGATTGTCCGAATTTTTCCGAGTCTTTTTCTTTTTATAACCTACCTTTTGATTAAAAGGCCGGAATTATGTAAATTACTATTTTTGAACTTTTTACTTTGAAATAAATGGAACATTAATAAAAACACCGGGAGTGCACAATTTTTTGAATGGGGGTAATTAAAACTACTTGATAATGCTGTATGTTTATCTAAAAGGAAAGGAATTTGACTTGAAATCTATTGTCTATTTATCATTTTAGTATTAGCTTTTAAAATATTTGTATTTGCATTAGTTTTATGAAATTTTTTAATTAAAACACTGTTTTAAGAACAAAAAAATGATGAAACCAAATTATTTTTTATTTAACGTGATTATTTTATTTAAAATAATAATGAAATACAATAAAAGATTTTATTACAATTTTCTATAAGTGTAGAATATTTTAAATAATAGTTAAAAAAATTGGTAATAATATTTATATATCAATGATGGAGGAAACAATTCTGAAATATTATATAGTATATTATTATAGGCATCAAAATTGTAACGTTTACCAAAGTCTCTATCATTAAATTTTGCCTTGTAGAATAATACTTTTATCAGTACATCACTAAAACTGTGTAGTTTGTCATCTAAAAAATACATTAATATAATAAAGCATATGAATTATTACAATAATTGTTATATAATTACTTTCATCATAAATTTCTTTCTTTAAATTAACTACAACACTTTTGAGATTTTCATTGTCATTTTCGTTCTGTGTTACTACCTAAAATATGCAAAATAGTTTATTGTAATGCATTTATTGTAATATATTTATTAAGTTCAACTTTTTATATGCATTTTTAAGTTTTGAACAAAAATAGCATACGGTAACCATTTTCACCTTGAAGTCAAAAAGTAGTTCGAAATTTTTATATTAAATTAACTTTTATTTAAGATATATATATAAAAATGTCAGTATTTCTGGAACATTTTCAAAATGTAAATTGAAAAAGTTAGGTTTTTGTGTAAAAGTTGTCATTTTGAATCCAACATTTGGGCAGGTAAAAGGTCCGACTTATAAAAAACTAAAAACCAGAGGATAGGTAAAGACATTATACATTTATAAAAAAAATTATATTGATTTAGTCTTTTTTGAAAAAGTTTTAGCAGATTTAAGTAAAAAAAA